TCCTCCAAGTTCTTTGTGTGAGTCCATTTTATGCCCATCTCCCCGTTGCCCTCTGTCTGTCGCATTATCCAGTCTATTGCAATCAAGAAAATCGTTGGAGATAGTAGGCAGCCCTGTCTTAATAACATAAATCAAGGGAACATTTTAAATCTGATATTAGGTGGTTGGAGGCAATCGGTAGGAAGCCTTGGACCTAGGTTTCGTGCTAGTTGGCACTCGTCAGCAAGGCGTATCTGCAACCTTGAAGGGACTCATGTCTTTTCTGAGATTCGAACCCGCGTCACCCAGTGCTGCAGTCAGAGACGTTACCACTGAGCTATTCGGGCTCGCGATTGACCTCCTGTAAGACTGTAGTGGATATTTTGATTTGACACTAGTAACTAGTGTGATGCGTCTAGTCCTCTCTTTGGTGCAGACTGAATTCTATCAGTCAGGTTGTAACGATGACATGAGTCCCTTCAAGGTTGCAGATACGCCTTGCTGACGAGTGCCAACTAGCACGAAACCTAGGTCCAAGGCTTCCTACCGATTGCCTCCAACCACCTAATATCATCACAAACTATGTACACCGTGATGGCGGGCTACCTAGAATGGTGGCCACGTTACAACCTGACTGATAGAATTCAGTCTGCACCAAAGAGAGGACTAGACGCATCACACTAGTTACTAGTGTCAAATCAAAAACATTTTAAATCTACTTTAGAAAGACAGTGATTTCTATCAACAGTGAATAAAATTCCATATTAATATTTGTTTACTGGATATATCAAACAGTGAAACAGTATAATTCACTGCATGAAATTTGGAACACAATTTATCGTTCATAATTATATCAAATATAAGTAAACAACTTCGAAACTTTGCTTTTCCTTATTCCTTCCTATTCGTCTGAGGAGTAGCAGACTTCCCGAGATGTCCGAGGTAGGTGCTGAGTCATTTCTGTTGCACGTACATTCACTTGATTTGATAAATAAAGCTTCCACTAACAATCCCACCCTCTGCTGTGTTAAACTAGACTGTCATCTTGTCCTATCCTATTGTATGGTTGTGTGTAATCGTATGTATTGCCAGAGATGAGCTATTTTATGGATTGCTTATCTGATTGGTGTCATATAATCTACATTTTCTCGGGTGTTTGTGCTTCGGTAGTCTGAATGACCCCTTAAGGTTTCAGAGGTTCCTTCTTGGTGTGGAATCACAGGAAATGCTTTAAATCCTGTATTGTCGTTGTGGTTTTTGTCATCTTTCTGTTTATGTTTCTCATGTATACTCAAACTTCAATTAGGGTAGTTATAATTAAAATGATTCTGAACAATAAATTTTGTTTGAAGCTTCATCCAGAATTTTATACTATTTCACTGTGTGATTTATCCAGTAAACAAACTGATATGGAATTGAATACCAACGAAGTGCCCAATTATTACATATAGATTAACAATGTACAGAGTTTTGTCCTCGAAAGTACCAGTCTCTTTCAACTGCTGAATATCAAAATTGCTTGAAAGCTGTTTCCTTATCCGTACACTTTTATTTCCATAAAATTAAGTAAGCAGCTATATGAGGCCCGTAGGAATGAAAGTTACTTCAGTTTGGGCTAATAAAATAAACGTAGATCCAGTAAGTTAGGTAGTTCAGGAAGCTCAATACTTATTCTAGTTGAAAATTTCAAAATTTGAGGTATTAAGCTAAGAAAAGGCATAATGAACAGAGTTTTCCTGAGGCTTCATTCTTCCCCTCTATTCAAAACATGATTAGTCTTTACCAGACAGTAATTTTGTCTGAAAGATTTATCCGGATAAGTTTTCCCATCTTAACGTTATATAAGTGAACCTGGTGAATAAGTTCTAAAATCCTTAATTACAGTTTTATAGACAACTGTAATAATATTTCATTAATTGCTGGATGAAACGTCCTCAGTAGTCCTCAATCAGTATTACCTGATATCGAGATATCATTCAGACTGTTATAACACTTAACAAGATTCGACTGATCAGTCTCAAAAGCATCTTTTTCAATACAATTCTGTTTAGCTTAAATTTAAGAGGAAACGCTTATTCGAAACACTTTTCTTTAGACTGACTGACAAGCCTATATTGGTTGGATTGATCGGTCGATTACAGCTTAATCCATTCAAATAACTAGTTTTGTACCAGAATCATAAGTTTACTGTTTGGAAGTTATTTCTTATGCGAAAAGATTTTTAATATGTTCGTTCTTTTTGATAACCATTTTACACATTTTTTTAATAGTCATCTGAAAAACTCAAATTTGTCACTACGTAGTTACTAAGGCAGATTTCAAGTGGTGCGCAGTAATTCTAATGGTTTTAATTTCCCTCACGAAATGACTTCAGTTAGAGACCCACTGAAAGCCAGGAAGTACTTAATAGCTGTTTCGTCCCATCCCCTCTGGGGACTCTTCACAGGTACTCGCCCATGCCTCATCAGGATTGTAATCGTGTCCACAGGTGACAGGGTGAACTCTGTGATAGATCCAATGGCCCACCAATTCTAATCGCTTCCATTTCCATCCCAATAGCTGAATAGTATACGAGCTCGCCTTGTAAACTGAAGCTCCTGTATTTAATGCCGGATGAATTCATGGATGACAACTGATGAACAGTCTCCTCAAGAGGGAGGACGAGACAGCTATCGAGTATTTCCTGGTTTTCAGTGGTTCACTAAGTGAAATTTCATATTAGATAGGTTTATTTGATATAATACACAGTAATGAAGTATTAATAACTGAATGACATTTCGAACACGATTTATCGCTCATAATCATATCAGTGTATTCACACATCTATACAAGTCGCTTTATCTATTTTAACACCTTCCCCTTTGCTATTTATTGCAATTTTCCATATATTCAGCATTTGCTCTGCGTCTTTCCAATTGCAAGTGTTTGGTGTTGATTTGATGAACACAGATCCCGTGATTAATCACTCTCTACATATATTACTTTTTATTACTTTTACTCCTATCCTATCCTATTGTCTGATTACACGCAAGTCAATGCCAACCTTTTTGTAGATTATTTTACTTCTCAGGGTCGATCATTATAGCTCTAGGTAGATTACTATGTTCCGATAATCTAATCAACCTCGGATTTACTAGTTCCACCTATACAATTGATCTCACAGTCTTCGGATGCTGTCTGATAAATCGTATTATTTTGATTCGGACCTTTGCCAAATTAATACGGGAAGTGTTCAAAAATTCGACGAAGAACTTGCCTGATCGTAAGCCCTAAGTAAATAGCTCCGCACGAACATTTAGACTGGTAAAGCTCAGAATACACCCTTCTTTAGCTTCGAACCGACGAAATTGTGTAGAGAAAGAACCCTAGGTCATCCGGGATATTCTAAGCGAGAACAGATATTCAGAGGAGTTCATTAAATCTAACATGGGTTACAATACTCATAAACATAAACTGGCAGCGCTGCAGAAAACGCCCTTATTTTTACGTATACAATTCAGAGGAGATACTCCTGCAGAGATTCTAGCGCGACGTTTAACGAGGGTGATATAGAAAACTTTCTACTCTGCACATCTGTTCCTATCCTTCAGTAGCCGTCCAATATTCACCTAACAAGTGAAAGATGTCTTACATAACCTTAGCTTTTCTTCATGCATATAGCATTTCAGCTGTCTTTGTGGTTCAAGTTATATACGGCGTATGATTAGACAGTTTTGTCTACGGATTCAAGAAAACTTATCACCTTGGTTCAGCAAGGAGAAATTAAATGCATTAAAAGCTCAATTCTTGACATCGTATCAACGCTAACAGAGCCTTCAGGGTTATATTCCAAATTCCGAAGTCATCACGTACACTTTGCTTACTTCTCCTACACATAGCTGAAGCTGTTGCAATAAGATCGACTGAACCAGAACTTTGTATCTAAAAAAGAACATGTCTATACGCTGTTTCTATCGTGGCCAAACCTGCATTAATGTTTCTTCTTCTCACCAAGATTGCTTCTTCCCCTTATCCCTCTTGGTTTTTTTCTCTTCCTTTTCTTTGCTTATTATTACAATTATAAGCATTATTCATCATAATTTAAACTCTTCATTCAAAAAGCATTCTCTCAATAGTATCCCTTCACTCAATACGTGCCTTCACCTGTTTCATTTCACACGTTGGTGACTACATGATGAACCTCTCGTTGCAGTCTTACTGTCTCCTCCTCTTTAATACATACTACTTTGTACTATTCACTCACTGGACACCTTTTATAACCTTGAACTGACTTGTCATTTTTTCTCTACCCCACATTCTGCGAATCTGTTATGTCCAATCATCACCACCGTCTCCCATTTCACAATATTTTGAAATAGAATTCAGTCTAGCCCGTTTGTCACACAAATACTGTTTATTCTGACACCCTAAGACTAATCTGTTGTTATTGAGAAGAATATTCTCCGTTCAGACTAACTTTTAATTTATGATATGGGAATATTTCACACTATTAGAAATTGAAATACCTAGATAGATGCTTCGAGCTCTGTGTCTTTGTAATCAGTCCGCCGGATTTTGGTTTTCCACTCTTCCCTGTAGCCTACTTGTATTCTTCAGTAGTAACACAACAACATCTGAGACATATGTGACAAACGATATTCAGTAGATGATATTATTTTTATTTTTTTACTCCCTTGGGTTCCGAGTGTAACATACGGCTTCAACAACACATCTCTACTTTATTCTATTTCCTGCTATCCTCTTCAGCTAGGTCCACGACTACCCATAATCTCTCATTTCCTTCTCGCCACAAGATCTCCTCCACAGTGGATGATATATGCCTGTATTATTAACAATAACAATATATATATGTATATATTTCAGGTAAAATTAGGATTGAAGAAATATTCAACAAAACAGATGAAAATATTTACAAATTTTAAGAAAAAAATATCAACTAAAAATTATCATTGTCATATTAGGTAAAATCAAGCAGATGGTGGTAAATAGTAGTAGTACTAATAAATAAAATATGATGTGTAGGAAAAGTTAAAACTTCAGGCATATTACTGATTGATAGTAGTATCTTATTACATGTCGAAGTAGTCAAAATGTTGTAACAGAAAGATGCAATGCAACAGTTTAAAAAGTTTATTTTTTTTATTTAAAAAAAAACACTAAAACAATGTGTTATGTGGATTTTTAGTTTTGGTATATAAAAAGAAAAGGGAGGGAGACAAGAGAAGAAAGTGAATGCATTCAAATTCAATGGATGGTAGATTACATTATGAAGGCACATAGACATTGTCAGCGTTATTTTTGTGCATGCCAATATTGGTGAGGTCATTTACCCCATATATTATTATTACTATTATTATCATGATTATCTTTGGTGTACATATTTAGATGTTTTGTTTTGTTTTTTATTGACAGTATGATATGTTTCTGTGATTGAATGACTGAATCACTGTCTTCAAGATTACTCTAATGTATTAGTAAATGTTTAATGTAAATTTTATGTAATTGTAACGTTTTGTGCTTAGCTGTAATGTTCTTTCAGCATTTTTGAACAACTCCTCCTCGTCGTCGTCAAAGTTAGTTTATGAAGGTCAGGTATATTCATGGGGTCATTGTAGTAGTGGTAGATTGCTGGAAATAAGGAAACACAATTGTAGAAATATTAAATAAAAATGTGAATTCAACATTCTGTAAATTATAAAAATGTCTATGGAGAATACCCTCGTGAATATTACTCCATAATGATAATAATAGCTTTATTCTGGACGAAAGATTTCTACAGTGTACAGAATTCTCAACTGAATCTACTCAATCGTATTTATCACTATACTGTATGAAAATTCAGGTAGCCCAGAGATTCAAGTAGACCGCCGTCAGACGGTATGTTGCTATGTAAACAACTGAAGCGTGAATTGTAATTATAATCATTATTTGCGAGACTGGCGGTTTTCACAAACAATTAGATTATACAAAGACCAGTATCTGACTGATATCTTATCGTCGGTGGGATGATGGGAGTGCACAGCTGTAGAGTCCCAAACTAGGACAAGACAACTGTCCAGTACTGCTTGGATTTCAATGGTTCTCGAACTGGTATCTAACTTGAAACCAATCAAATCCCTACAAACTAACACTTGAAAATAAAATATCGTCCGTCAACAAAAGTTCAGTATAGAAAATGAAATGCCTGTTTGGGCTTCATTTTTAAGACATCTCCAAATATGTGGTGAGTTAACCAAAATTTATCCTAATCACCTCTTATCTCTATTTTGTTAAATGATAAAATCATCTAACGTTACCCTACAACTCTTGGTATCTCACTAACTGACATCGAAATTCGTGGATGCCTATTAAAGTTTTAAAAATAATAACAAAAGGTCTTGAGATTATGTGGGACACACATAACTTAAGAATGTAGAATGTAGACTTTCACACAAAGCTGTTTTCTAAGCCTATGATTTAGCTAAGATAAATATCAATGCAATGTAATATCTCGTTGTCATTTCATTATTACTTGACAGTAAAGTGAAGTGGACCACTTTAAGCCAGACAAAATACTGCCGCTGGAACCTTTAAAAGGACAAGTGATATTTTTTAACAATTATTTTTGGTTCCGTCAAGTAGAGGACGTAGAGATGGGTTCCCCTCTAGGTCCTCTCTTAGCCGATATGTTTATGGCAAAATTAGACAATCGTCCACTCAAAAACGTAATCAACGAACTCTCGTTCTACTGTATATAAATGGACGATACTTTTATCTTTCATAATAATAAAATCGATACTGAGGTCCTTCTCCAAAATATCAGTAGGGCTCACACACAAATTGAGTCCACATATGAAAAGGAGAAAGACAACACCTTATCATTTCTTGATGTCCTGCTAACAAGAAGTCAAGATGGTAGGCAGTATTAAGTGGGGTATTTGCCGGAAGAAGTCATGCGTTGGACAATACACCCATTTCAAGTGGTTTGTTACTCTTGCATACAAACGAAATCTTATCAGTACCTTGATGTATTGTGCTAGAAAAATATGCACAAACGACACTTTAGATAATGAAATAAGGAAAATAGTACACTTTTCATGCTCAAAAAAATTTGTTAAAGTCTCGATAAGGAGAACAGATAGAAAGAAATGCCTGCAAACTGTGCAGAAGAAACTCGTGTACATGACTTAACCGTTTAGAGGAGATGCGGCAACTAATCTGTTGGCACAGAAACCTCGAAAAATAATAACTAAAATATTCTTTGCCACAACATTGTGTTTAAAATTTGCCACTTGTTGTATAATTTCAACCCAGGTGAAATATAAGCTACCGAGTCTGGCCACTTCAGTGTGCATTTATAAATTCAACTGCTCATGTGGAGACAGTTATATGGTTAGAAGGACTCGGCAGGCCCACCGCCGCCTTCTGGAGCATTGTCCAAAATGGTTAGGTAAGGGACTATAGAAGTCAGTCAGAAGTTCCATACAGGCACACTTGATTGACAAAAAATCAGCTTTTACAACTGTTTAGGTTGGTACCTCTTCGGTTGCTAAGTATAGCTGAGGCAGTTGCCATAAAGACTTTTCAACCCAGTCAGAAAAAGCTTGTTTAGTCTCTCTCACTCCCTTGGCTGTCGCCCCTAACCTAAAATAGTTATCTCTCCCTGTGACACCGGTTAACTGTAAATATTATCTTATTATATTTTTATTTTATTTGTGATACTAACTGTATTATCAATATCAGGCCGTGCTGCGGTTGTGCATTTTAGTCTCGGTTTCACAATTTATCATTATTATTATATTATATTATTTTTCTATATTTTTGATTACAGCTTGATTCCACACCGTATTTTTTGGTACAGGTATGGAATTTTCAGCATGTGATATCGGTAGCCGAAATTTTGCAGGCCGACCATAGATATCAGGTGTGCGTCGGCAGGGGATCGAACCCAGGACCATGTGCATGGTCGGCGAGTTATAACCACTGTGCCACCGAAGCACGGTTGCTATGTGACAATAGCTATTTTCCCCTCTATCCTTACTAATATACACATTATGCCTATACACTCACTTCTGCCTAGGTTACATAAACACGTGAATGAAGCTATCCTTGTTATTATTATGATGATGATCACCTCAACTATTATCCATTAAATCACACCTCTGATCCTATATATTTTATTAACCATAGTAATTCAAATGCCTATGACTAATATTTCATTATTTAAATGTTAAGCCTGATAAGAATTTACCGAAAATACTTTTTTTATTCCTTCACGTTCCCAGTGGATGATAGGACTTCAAGCTAGAGGCTCAAAGTTCCTGTAGCAGTGGTGGTTATTTTTACGGGATGGGGTTGCTAGCCTCATGTCCAACCTTCCCTCTTTACCAGTCTTATTACTGGCTTAACGAGGTAAAGGAGTACGTCGGCCGAGGATCGAACCCCGGACCACCTGCGTAGTCGCTGGGCGCTCTACCGCTGTACCACCGACACACACCGAAAATACTTATTTGCTTAAGTCGTGTTCTATAATTATCATAATGGGATTATTTAAACTATTCTTGGTTTCGTCAAATTATATACTACTGATTGATAGAAGTAAGTAGTTGCATATCATTCCTATCAACCAGTAGTGCTGCCTAACCAGATTGAGACGATCTAAATACCAAACAGTAGCTTCGTTCATTTAGAGGCGAAGTCATCAGTGGGGTACCCAGTGTGACTCAGCTCACAAGGCCGAATCAATTCAAACCACCCGGTTTCTGGCTAGCTACTTGAGAGAACTGCTGTTGGCACAAACTGAATTCACAGTTCACAGATTAGTTAGCAATTTGCAATATAAACAGTTCAAGGGGTAAAATTCCACCATAGTTTCCTTGAGAAACTAAATTTTTCGGCTGTCTGAACTGAGTCCAACCGGGTTTACTGCTGATGAGCTCGACCACCCCTCGAACTGTATACAATTGCAAATGGCTAACTAATTTGAAAATTCTGAATTTTATTTATGGTTCTTATTGCATCGTATGACAGGCTCTTATGATCACCTAAAAAAAGACACCCTCTAACACACAAATTCGTGAATTGATTTCATGATGAACTTTTGTAGAGAAGATAAGATTCTTTATACCAGGCAAACAACGAGCACTGCCAGTCATCTTTACAAATAACAATCGGTTTTCTCCATTTCCCGTAAATGCTTCAAATTGCTCTATCTTCAAAAGAACATTTGAAGAATAATCTGTTCCACTAACTAAAAGTCTCCCACAATTTGACAATAAACTCTTAGCATACTTTCCGATAACAGATTGAACAATATCCTACCTATAATACAATATTTTTGCGTGTAACAGAACACACCAGACTATCACTCCTAGATGTAAATTCTTACCATAGTAGTAATAGTAGTAGTAGTAGTAGCAAGGGTAAATTTTATCGTATCATTAGTTTTTTTTCTTTATTGATAAGAAGGAATATTCACTGATCACTTAACAATATTCAATGAAAAAGGTGAAAAAAAGGTGTGAGGAGTAGCTATTCACTAGAAAGTGTATTACTGTGCATTTCCTTCCACAAGTTTTATAGACTGGAAACTGAAATTGTTGATTTGTTGATTTTTTTTTCCAGTTAATATAGATAAGTGGAATTTTGAAGTGGAGTAGGTCTCATTTTCCCTATACCAATTGAAAATACGCATATACATATATTTGAGACTATGCATAATAATACTATTGGTATTACAGTCTCTTGACTAACAGTAGACCCTTACCCTGATAGTATATATGCAAATATATGGGTAAAATGAACAGTAGGAAATTATAGTAATTTCCGGCTTTAGTAATGTGACTTTCCTATTCATCTCAACAGTTAACAGTTAACAAATAAGACAAATGCTTTGTTTTCTGATATACACAGTTAAGTTAGCCGATTTAAAACTAAACTTTTACTGTGGTCTTGTTTTGGGTAGATTCGTGTATTTGGTGATTGGTGTTCAGATAAGTTGTCCATGAAAAGGTTGACCGGTTTATCCAGCCGACACTATGCTTTCTTTTTATTCCTACACGTTCCCCAGTGGAACATAGGGCTTCAAGCTAGACGCTTGCAGTTTCCGTAGCAATGTTTATTTTTTACAGGATGGGGTTGCTAGCCTTATACCTAACCTTTCCTCTTTTCCAGCTTTTTTTCTGGCTTAGCGAGGTAAAGGAGTGCGTTGGCCGGGGATCGAACCCCGGACCATGTGCATGGTCGGTGAGCGTCCTAACCGCTGCGCCACCGATGCACAAAGGTGTACACACTTGCCGGAACCCGGGATCGAACCGGGGACATTTAGATCTTCAGTCTAACGCTCTCCCTACTGAGCTATTCCGGCGGTGACAGTATGCTTAGGAATATTATATCTGGATGTATTAAATTGACTATGACAAGCCTGATATATGCACTGGTAGTAAGAGAAATTGCAAAACAATCGAATTGTAATCCATGTATCGAAAGAATTGTTTAGAAAATCCCTCCTGGACAATCTGATTACAATACTGGTACTTGTTTGAATGTTTCAACTAAGTTTGTAATTATTTTCCTGTTTTCTCTTGCGCTACATATCACTATCTTAAAGTTGGACTACCATCTAATGATTTAATCCTTATTTTTGTCTTTTTTATTTAACTTCTTACTGTAATACTACTCTTTGTGGTTGTGTGATGGTGAGATTTATATTGTGTTGTTCATTTGAGTGAGTCAGGGTCATTCTGGACTCGGATTGTCCGCGGGGATTGTTTGGTGCGGAATTCTCGATGACAGAGTTTGGATCCAACCTTGTTGGGAATATTCTACTTCATTCTCAGGCACTTCTTACAGTCGATTTTTAGCATACTACTTATGTTCGTTCTATAATAATTGTCTTGTACTGGAAAATTATCTGATCTGTAAAGCTGCTTAACGGCATTGTTGGGGGTAATTTTGAGTTTAATACCATTACTATTATCGTTAAATGGCACAGTAGATTTTATAGCAAATAACTGTCCTTTTGCTGTTGTAGCAGCATCTTGTGACTGAACATAGTCTGAGGAAGTTCCTGCTATCTATACAGTGGAACATCTAGATTGATTTCCAGCATTCATATAATAAGACAGGGATTTCGGTTGTCACAGTCCGATTAACATTGCAAGCCCTCAGACTACAAGGTTAACTGGTTAAATTATCACTATCTCATCGCTAAACAACTGTCTTCTATATTTAACTCATCAAGTGTTCTACTTGGCAGTCATTCAAATAATACATTTGGTAATTCTGTGATCACTAGTTAGAATTCGGTCATTCACGGGAGCTGCTTTACCTTTTATTGAAATCTTTGGTTGCTAAATTTTATAAAATTGAACGAATGCTTGAAATGCAGGTATGTATTATCAGAATTAATGTAACTGTGGTGTTTGGGCAAAGTGGTAGGGTATAATTCCATATTCGATAAGTTTATTTTATATAATGTACAGTGGTGCAGTATTGGTAATTGGATGGAGTTTCGAGCACAGTCTAATGCTTATAATCACACCAATGTATTTACATAGCTACATAATCTCCCTTATATTTCTCTCCTCTCCCCAAATACTTATACTTAAGCCGAATATATGGAACATTACAATGAATGACAATGGGGAAGAGAAGCAATAAAGCAAATGTTATGGAGCCATGTAAATATATTGTAATGATTTTGAGCAATAAATTATGCTCCAAACATAGTTTTGTCAAGTATTGGCTTGACTGGTTATAAGACTGATCACGGGCTGATATCAGTGAGAGAACTGGCGGAAAACCTGGGATTAATGGGCAGCTGTTTCACCCTAGTTTGGGACTTTATCAGCACGCACCCACCGTAGGTCAAACCCAGAACCTTCGGGTTATGTGGCGAGCTCGTAGATCATTAAGCCACTGGGACACGACCCAATGGTCCATGAATTCTGACTTCAACCAATTCTTGACGTATATTTAAGGTAACCGAATGGGTGCATACTGATGAATAGTCCCAAACTACGACGAAATGGCTGTCCAATACTCCGAGTTTTTCCAGCGCTTCCCCAACAATTATGTTGTTCACTTGAGTGGAGATATTACTCATTGATGCGCCTTGATAAACAGGAAACCTATTGCTATGGCATTACCATTGTCAAGTGATCTAAAAAGACTTCCGTGGCATTTCTATCAAAGCTAAACATATAATTTATAATAAAATTGAATCATAAAACAAAAAATGGTCGATTTTAAAATATCCTTTTTCTTACTTCTTTCGATATGCATTTGACAAATTATTGAAATCCATGTGATTATTACCCACAGGTAGATTACTCCATCTTGGCTGATTATCATTGCGAACACCATACGGTATTTGTACTGTCCCACCTGTTCCTCCTGCTGACTGTCCTGATGAAGACACAAATACATCAAAAGCTCTTTCTTCTCCATTAAAACGATCAGAAATATGGTTATGGTGGTTTTCAGGACTAGTTAAAATAGGCGCGGTTCTTGTTACACCATCATTTAACTTTCCATTGCTTATTCCGCTACCTGAGAATCCTGTACTAACTGAACTGTTGTTATTGTTGATGTTATTATTATTATTATTACTATTATTATTGTTATGCTTACTACTAGTACTGTTATTAGAACTGTGGCTATTATTATTATTGTTATTGTTAAGTGATTGAGGTACTGAGGCTTTCTGTGGACTGTTTAAACTGCTGCTAAGCGTAGAAAATCCAGGATTAACTGAATTTCCAGATATTTGTGTTAAAAAACTTCGTGTATTGGTAATTGAGAATTTATTATCAACAATACTGATATTTTTATTGTTATTATTATTATTACTACTATTGCCACTGTTTATATGGTAAGGATTTACATCACCGTATTGTTGTGAAACTGAACTCCCATCGATTGAATAATAATTCCCAAATGGTGGTTTATAATGCATGCTTTGTGAATTTGTATCATGCATAGGTACATCATACGGATGTACAGAAAATGGTGTTGAAGGTGTACTCAGTGCTGATAAATGATTCATATTTGGCGGCAAACCGTTGTTATTGACAACATCGTATGCTATTGGATTGTTTTGATTCACTGCATTATTTGTATTAACCATTGTAGGATTATCAATTAATTTAGGATACTTCTCCACCGAGCTGGTCAATGATTTACTGCGTGTATTCGCCAGCTTTGAAACAGACTGCATTGATACACTCGGAGGGATTTGTATCCAACGTTCTACACGCTTTTTGTGATATCGATCGTGATCGAGACCATTCGGATTGACTAACAGACCACTACCACTATTGTGCTTACTAAATCGAAATAGACACTTTCCACTGAAACAAAATCTTCGCCATGATTCAATTGTCTTATTCGACCAGATCCAAAATCCTGATGTTATCCCAATTACTAAGCTCATAAAATGTTTCAGCATGAATACAGCATATTCCGGTCTTGGAGGAGTCCAAGCAGGGAGAGCAACTGGTAAAATTGGTTCATAATTATAATCCTCTTCATACTGTTTACCAATATCATAATGACAATGACATGCAACACCTAACTGCCAAGCATGTGTATCACGTAATTCATAACCAATACAGAATAAGATTACAAGATTCGGTATAGCATACAACATTCCAAATATTCCAATGCGTATGATTAGTCTGTCAAGCTTTTGTGTTTCAACTAATCTTGGTCTTTGTAGTTTAATTGCACCACGTATACGAAATAAAGCAACAAATCCAATCATCATTAGGATAATTCCAATCAGTAAGTAAATTAATAAGGGGAGAAATGTGAACAATATTAGGGATAATGGTTTACTCGATTGAATTGTACATAGACCACTGACTGGATCACCTTCTACAACTGATAATAATAAGGCTAAAGCTGTTTGACTAGCTGGTAATGACCATGCAATGAAATGGAACACCTGTGTGGAAAATAATAACAAGAAAAGAAAGTAATTAAATGATAAGCTGATGCTAAGGTATTCATTTAATCACAGAAAATACTTATAACTTCAGATATGGATTCTGAGGCGTTTATTAGTGAACCTTCGAGGAGTATTTTAGTCACCATCTTCAATAGTATTTCAAATTTACAAAGGAGAAAATCGATGCCCCCGCAGTTCCATCTTAGAACATCTGATAGAATCCGGACACCAAGCTACACCGCAAACAAACTTCAAAGTCGTCTACAGAGTAAGAAGTAGCCTCCCTAAAGGTGTACCAATCAGACTTCTTCAAACTGCAGAAGCAATGGCGATTCACTTGCTTAGTCCTGAACTCTGCATACAGAAGAAGTTCGTTCAATCACTACACTTGCAATGGACGTAATCTATCTTATTAGCCGACATGTAAATTCTTCCTAATCTTTTCTTCTGTCTCTTCATTAGTATTATTTTGTCTTCTCAATTGTAACATTTTACATTTTCAACTTTCTCGTTCTCTACCCCCACCCGATTCAATTTATACACCTCACTACCACTGTTACTGACTTGAACAACGCTCAGTTTCTAGTCATTCATGTTACGTCATCCAACTTATTCACTCAATTTCATTTCTACTTAATCTCTACCTGTAATTACCTCTGTTGCTATCCTGACCTAAGTTGTAACATTTTAGCCAATTATATTACGTCATCTAGTTTTTTAACTCGGTCTTACTTTAGTTGCTGTCTCATTAACTTTGTCTCTATACTACATCATTCTTGTATTAACTAATCAATTATCTAAACTTGACAAACCTCATGTACACACACACAAATATTTATATATAAATGCGATTTTACAGCTATGTGAATGAATTCGCCGAAAAGAGTCTCTTCGCTGAATGTCTTCTATATTTCAAATTTTGCAAAACATATGACAGCTTAATGAGGGTCTGTAAAACCCTTTTGAGTGGATTCCAACTAGTTATATGTCGCGCAGAATTTATGCCGGCTAATATGATCTAGAACACATATTGAGCTCTGAATATTTCCTATTTCGAAGAAAAGCTTCCTACTTCGATATCAGTAGTTCATTACATTCGGCTGACTTCTTTGTTAAGTTTCCAATTATTCACCTATACCATGTTCTGAATCTCTTCTTTGTTTATTTGCATCTTTAAAAAGGATCTCCCTGACTTCACTTAGCCTGCAGATGACTGCCAGAATGTTTTGAAAACTTTCTCTAGAATGAATGTATCTAGAGGAGAAATTAGTGCTAAGGATCCACCTGAACCAGAAAAATAAACAACAAAAACTTTAATTTAGATAGCAGGGATTATCATACAAACTATGCTTTAATGTGAGTCAACCAAGAACCTACTGCCTCACAAATATATCGAAGGGAGTGTACATGAATTGACACATTCTAGAGAGACCGTTGAGGAGAATCATTTACCAAGCCGTAGATTGAAACCTGAAAGTGAGAAGACGAGTTCGGCTTTCTATGATAATGTGGAAGAAGGGAGGAAATGAAAGCCTATGATCAAACATTGAGTTAGCTAAAGAGGAAGAGGAGGAAGAGAAACACCAACTTCCGTCTATTTACCATACCATATAATAGATAACGTTTTCATTTTGTATTGTTCTGTTTTTTGCATTTCTACCGTAAATTAAAGTGAATTAGTTACAGGTTTTCATCATGAGCCGACATTGGTTAGAGAACCATTGGAAAACCTGGGATGACTGGACAGCTGTTTCGTTCTAGTTTGGGACTCTTCAACAGTACGCACCCACCAACAGGGTTCGAACCCAGGACCTTCTGGTTACAAGGCGAGCGAGCTCGTAGACCATTGAGCCACTGGGACCCGATCCAATGACTAGCCCATGATTTCTAACTTCTGCCGATTCACGATATAGCGCGATCGCTAGCCAATGTCTTCGGCGAGTATTTGTCCTCACACCCGACCTGCTGCACCTTACTGGTCACGACTTCCGACTGGAACCCCAGGTAACTACCTACCTGAATATGGCCAGACACCAGTGAGCATGAAACCCTGTAACCAATCAACCAAATCCCAACAAACCAATACTTGAATATTGATGAGATGCTCACTGGTGTCTGGCCCTATTCAGGTAGGTAGTTACCTCGGTTCCAGTGAAATGTCGTGAACAGTAGGGTGCAACAGGTCGGATGTGAGGACAAATACTCGCCGAAGACATTGGCTAGCGATCGCGCTATATCGTGAATCGGCAGAAGTTAGAAATCATGGGCTAGTCATTGGATCGGGTCCCAGTGGCTCAATGGTCTACGAGCTCGCTCGCCTTGTAACCAGAAGGTCCTGGGTTCGAACCCTGTTGGTGGGTGCGTACTGTTGAAGAGTCCCAAACTAGAACGAAACAGCTGTCCAGTCATCCCAGGTTTTCCAATGGTTCTCTAACCAATGTCAGCTCATGATGAAACCCTGTAACCAATCAACCAAATCCCTACAAACCAATACTTGAAGTGAATTAATTGCATATGACGATCTGAAGAAACCGCAGCTTGTACATTTCCATTATATGTTGCGAATTTTCGTATTAGTTAAGAAAACTACTTCATTTACTGTTTTGTACACCATTTTCTCTGAAGACTCTAAATACATGGATTTGCTCAGAATACTAAGGTCGATTAGAATGGTAATAAGCGAGAACAGTAAAACTCTACATTACCAACAAGGCGAAACAGCTGTCCAATACTCCCTGGTTTCCAACAGTTCTCTAACTGATATCAGTTTGTTGTCAAAATTGAAACAAATTAACTCTTGAAAGTTAATCTAATGCTCGCTAGTGACAGGCTGCAGGACGAAGTTGGCTTGAGTTCTTGTGAGCACTCGGTTCAACCCCGGCTAAAGTGAGAACAAATACTCACCGATGACATTGGCTGGTGGTCGTGCTAAAATCATGGTTTGGCAGAAGTTGAAAACTATGGGCCACCAGACTAAGACCTAGTGGCTAAATGACCTAAGAGCTCACGTTGTAACCGCAAGGTCTTGGGCTAGAATCCCAGTGGATGCGTCCTGAGGAAGGGCTCCAAACTTGGACAAAACAGCTGTTCAATACTTCCTGTTAGTTTTCAGTGGTTCGCTAACTGACATCAACCCGTGATCACAGTAGAAACAGTATGAATGGTCTTCTAGAGATATACATAACATCCACCCCTTCTTTATTCAACCTTATTATGGAACTGTTTGTAGCCCCGCGTTTAAGACTAGCCACTCACTCGTCAACTTTCATGCCACCACATTAATTTCAATACGTATGACCAGTGGAACTCAGTAGTCAATGTGTCCTCAGAATATTATTATTACATTATTGTTTCCTTTAGTTCCTAGAGGAACATGAGGCTTCAGCCAAACGTCTCCATTGCATTCGGTTCTCCGTCAACGTTTTCACTTGGCTCTACACCTGCCCACATGCTTTTATGTCTTCTTCGCATGACTACCTCCATTTCACCCTCGCACTGATGACCAACTCGCCGTTTCCCACTCGAGCGATGGCCTGACGTGTGATGCCACTCACTTACTGGTTTTCTCGGAGTATGGCCAATCCACCTCCATTTCCTCCTGCATATTTGTCGCACAATCGGCTCTTGCTGGGTTGGTTCGCTCATTGCCAGAGATTCCTGTTGATGATCTTTTATGGCCAGTCATCTGATTTTGAGTATTTAGCGAATACCGCTGTTAATGAAGGTCTGTAGTTTGTTCGAAGTGGCCTTCATGACGCGGCGCCAAGTCTCTGATACAGTGTACTCAGCGCAATTCACCTTAACCACTCAATTCTCCAATTCCCCATATAAAACGGTCAGTTATAACTCATATGATGATAATATCAAAGTGAATAAAGGTAGAATTGCTGAAATAACAAAATTCCTACCTGAGAATACTTTGATATCGCTTCACTGCCCCATTTAAGACCAGCAGCAAGTAACCAGGTAAGCGCAAGTACAACCCACCAAATTGATGCTGCCATACTAAAGAAATAAATCAATAAGAAGACAGCTGCACAACTTGCTCTACCAGTGAATGCATATCGTAACAATTTTGACCGAACTAAATGATCAGTTGTCTTTAAAATATTCGAAGTAAGTGTTGTCACGGTTGCTGCTGGATTCATTGGTGTCGCTGTTACTGATGCTGCCGCTGCGGTTGTTGCTGTTGTTGTTGTCATCAATAGGCCTGTAGTTGACATTGTTATCGTCTTCAAATTATTAACACTCATCAGTTCAGATTTATCAAACCAATTTTTGCTAGTTTTAGTCAATTCATATTGTATTTCTTCATATTCACTTGACAAACTATCGCACGCTATAGCTTGATGACCCATAAACACTCGAATTAAATAACCGATTGATATCATAAAATAACATGCAGACAAATAAATCAGCGGTAATTCAGGATACTGGAAACGATAAGAATCAGTAATAAAGGTGAATACTGTTATCATTGTTGATATAGCACAAAATATTGACCAGATAGCTAACCAAAATGTGGTAAAGTTATTTGAAGCATCGAATGAATAGTAGGGTGTATAACATGGCATTGTACAATCTTTAATATCAGCTACTGATATCTATAAAAATAAATTAAAATACAGAAAACAGAAGCTCAATAACATTATTAAGTATTCGATAATGCTTAAAATAAGTATTATATATATGAAAAAAGTCTGAACGTGTATACCTAGTTTATCTTTAAAGTTGTGAGAATACATTTTAAGTAGCAAATGCTATATCTGATATATTTGTTTGTTTGTCTGTCTGTCTGTTTTCGACATAGAACTTTGCACCGATGTGCAGCAGTTCAAGTCGCCTCCCTCCCTCCTTGTAGCACACAAAACAAGAGAAGAAAGCAGAAGAAATGTATAATAGAGACAGTAGACAAGGATATGAGACAAACGGAATAGTAATATATTGAAGAACAATACAGTTTAATTGGAAATTATAAGTCACAAAGAGTGGATACATCTGCGCCATCAAGAACGATTTTGAGCCATATCACCAACTGTATCCAGCCACTGGTTTTTACCGTCCCGAGGACCCCAACTAGGAAGTCTACATCTTCCTACGTGGCTTAAACTAACTGTTGTGGATTTCATTGACTGGTACCATGTTTTGGTTTGACTGTCGCTAGCTCTTTTCCAGCCTGACCATACGTCAGCTAACATTGCCCGTCGAGGAAGGCGGTGACTAGGCATATGTAACACATGTTCTAGCCATCTCAGTCGATGTAGCCTCACAGCCTCGTCGATTGATTTCTCTTCCTTACCTAGCACTCGACGCCTAACCTCAACATTGCTCACCCTGTTATACCACTTCACACGGGAAATAGAACACAGACTCCTATAATCAAATATAGCTAGTATTTTCATGTCTTCCGCTCTCAATGGCCAGGTCTCACAGCCAGCCATAAAGGAGAAAGGAGTGGACTGCTGAGCAGTATACACGCCCTTGTGTCAATAACCGGATATCACGTCTATGTCAGAGACGGCGTAAACTGGCATATGCAAAACTAGCCCTCCATATCCGTGCTGAGATTTCGTCAGCGATCAACCCGTTGGCGTTGGCTGATGCAACTTCCCAAATAAGTGAAGCAGTCAACGTGCTCTACCACTTCATTCCCTATTTCTTAGCTAGGAGTCGGTGTAGTCCAGTCCTGTAACATTATCTTACATTTGTCGGGATCAAATCGTATACCAAACATTCGTAGATTGCAGCTCAAGGTGTTCAGAAGACTCTGCTGCATTTTGTCAGCGTCTTCGCCTGGAAGAATTATATCATCCTCATACATATTCTAAGTCGACGAGATTATTCCCTGGTAACAGGTCAATCCCTGAGTCTCTGAAGAGAGTTAGTGTTAATTCCATTAGTGCATCTATAATGAAATTGAATAGAAATGGGGATAGTGGGTATCCCTGATGGACACCACTAGTTGTCATCACTTCAAATGATCTGATCTATTTAAGGACTTATTACTAACCTTCATAAGTTGTTTACTTTCTAAACACATCAGTGTCAACGTCTAATTCAGTACTGTAGATTTAGATACTGAAGATAACTAGGTGAAAAGATATCAGATAAAAATTGTGACCGCTGAAGACTTTAAAAGTAACTGCTGAAAATCAGGCAGAACTTAACAGCTGTTTCATCCTAGTTTTAGGTAATTCCATGAGGTAAACTTAGAGACTTTGTGAAGACATTAGATCATGACTGTTAGCCTCTTTGAAATTCATTACAATCAAAATACTACGTTATAAATAAGTGTAATGTTGGCAAATTACTAAGTTAGAGCCAATCTAAAATGTTATCAGGATCTGAGACATCGACAACGATATAGTGAAAGGCAACTTATTATGCTTTATAAATAATCTAACTTAAATCCAACTAAACCAGTTCGATTTCATCACAGACCAACATAGGTTAGAGAGATCATTAAAAAACAGGTAGAACTCAACAGCCGTTTCGCCCTTTTTGGGACTCTTTATCAGTGCACATCCACGTCTACACCACGGATCAAACCTGGCATCTTCACATGAGGGTAGAAATATATAATGAGTTGAAGAAGTTCGAATTCATGGGCCATTGAATTGTAGATCAAGTGACCGGAGGTATACGAGTTTGTTCTCATTTCTTGAAAGTCTTGGGTTCCATCTGTAGTGGTGCTCTTTGGCGCTCACTTATGAAGAGTCCCAAAATGGGACGAAACGGCTGTTTAGTACTTCCTAGATTTTACTAACGTTGGTTCGCGACAAAATCTAACAATTCAAATTGATCCAAATCCCCGCAAATCGCATAATTTGAATATATATATATCATTTTCGTTAGTAATCAGAAAATCTCTTTTAATTACTGGATGAATGTGATAACAAATATAGTTGTTTAAGAGTTTAAGACTGACGTGAAAATAACGAATTAATTTTAACACTGATTTACTACTCGAAATCAACTTTAATTTATTGATTATTAGTTTATACTTTATCTTTGACAATCCACAGTGTATTTGCGGTAAATTTAACCAGTTTAGGGGGAAACCAAAAAGTTGGCAGAAGATGAAGAGAAGAATGAACTCTAGGTGAACATAAACAAGGTAGTGATGATAAAAGCACCAAACCAACAACAAGTATCAGTCCCCATCATCGAGTGAAATATAAACGAAGTTATATCTGTCAGGCTGCATCATTTCAACTACAGGCGCCATGGATGAGGATGTTTAAGGGCAGGATCGCAAAAACAAGACTCTGAAATCAATGTGGATATTGTAGGAATCTGCTTCACTCAGCATTAAGAACAACATTCATATTTTCACCACTAGTGTCAGGTTAGTGGTTTTATATGGTTCAGGGGAAATGGTCGACAAAACAGCCTTCAAAGTTTTATTAATACCTGCCTTCGCTCCACATTGAAGATTATATGGCCAGTCAGGAAGGATGGGTAACAAGAAATTTCGGTAGGCAGCGAATCAATCAATAACTTACTGCCCAACAGATGTGCCGAAGAAAATTGATATGAATCGGGGACACATTATCGAGATCGTTGAGTAACATCACATACCAGGTCACTGCTCGAGAGGAACCTGCATTAGAAAAGATGGGTTGGAAGTCTGAAGGTGAAACGGAAACGATCGTGTAAGGAGATGATGGTAGCTTATGGGCAGTTGTGGAACCAAATAAAAAGGAATACAAGGAAAGGGATGAAATTTCGATATGCTGTTGAAGCCTTATATTCTACTAGGAACAAAAGGGAATGATAATATTATTATAATTTTAACTCCAATTTTTTATTGAATGCTAACTTTAATTTACTAACTACTAGTTTATGCTTTATCTTTAACAGTCTAAAGTAGATTTACAGTAACTTGGTGGAACTTAGTCAAAGCTATGTTATTTTATTCAGCAATACGTGTAGGTTGATCAACTAATAGAAAATCATGATAGAGTGCAAATGAATATCCTGAAACTGACATGTGCATGCTTGAAAACAGCGGTGACCCTGGACTTTCAATGGTACTCTAGCTGGTGTAAATGCCTGTTTTAAATACCTCTTCGAAATTCCATCCCTTTCTTTATCTATTTTGACCACAAATTAATATGAGTTAGAGAACCATTGGAAAACCAGCAGTAGGTACTGGACAGCTGTTTCATCCTAGTTCGGGAATCATCTGCAGTACGAACCCAGGACTTTCCGGTTACAAGGCAAGCTCGTATACCATTCAGACACTAGGACCCGATTCAGCGGCAAGTGCATGAATTCTAACTTCTAAGAATTCATGATTTAGTGCGACTGGCACCAACCAATGTCATCGGTGGGAAATCCATCCCAACTCCCGACTGGATGCACCTCACTGGTCATAACTTCTCACCAGAGTGGCAAAAAACTCCATCCTGTAGCAAGTCACTTAGCGAGCATCAGATTAATTTTCTCATTTTCATACAAACTCTTCTAGTAAATGAAGCCTTATATATTATTGTACCTTAACTTTTCAGATATACATCTTGAATGTAAACACAGCTAATTTTCAACAATCTATTCAAGGCACTAAGTGACTGTGTACATTATTATTACTATTGCTAGTATCTTTATTATCTGCAGTAGAAAAAGATTCTATCAACTAATAATGTTTAGATAAGTGGCTACTTCCATTTAAGTATATAATTCTCTACTTTTTATAAGGCTGAAAAATAAATAAATATAAAAGACACTGATACACTTAAGATAAACACTTAACTCTCTATTTTTTTTCAATTACTAGAAAAATAAACATGTATCTATTACTTAGAGTATATCCAGAGTAATCAGTAAGTGAGTAGACTTCATTGGCTATTAGTAACAACAACAATAATAATAATAATCATACAGATGGTTGAAAGTTGTCTTTTGAGTAATACAAAAGCAACGAGTTTAACAAGGTTGTTTATAGTTTGAGAAACAATCAGTATTAGAAATCGATAGATTGACAGTCTGTATCCAAAACGAGTTAGAACAATTTATAGATGAATCAAAATGTCTACTGAAAAGCGAGAAGATGTAGCCAGTTTATCTCACTTTAAACTGTATCTAAAGCTATAGAAGTAATTTCAGGTCTATTTGGGTTTTTTTCACACATTTCAGGATAATCAGATAAACTCTGTTTTGTATCTTGTAGAATAAGACAAGAGAAATTTTAAAAAGTCGTACCAGTTGCCTTCTATGAGCATGTTTAGAAAGTTAACTCCTAGTGTAACGTAGGTATAAGGATTCAAAGACGTAAGTCAGGCTAAAAGAAGTCTCCACTAGGTAATTAATATCCTATTTCGACTGACAAGTCAGCTGTCTTAACGAGGACGTTGTCTGGAAGCTAACAGCACATAAAGTTCTCCTAAAAGCATTTTATGGAAAACAAAATACCATGTATATAATTTAATCGTCTTCTGATTTCTCTTTCAAGATGGATCGTTGGACGAAACAATTTAAAAGACTACAGGAAACCAAGGAGTACTCAACAGCTTTTTCATCCTAATTTGGGGCATTTCAGCAACATGCACACATGAGCCCACTGGAGTTCAAAACCAGGACCTTCAGGTTACGAGGCGAGCTCGTTCACCGTTCATCTGCTGATGCAAGATCCACTGGCTCACGAATTCTTCAAACGCCTGCTGTTTTGTGATATACGTTGGTGACGTTATGGGCTCAAACTGGTGTACAATAGCTGTTCAGTTCACAAACACCCTCCCCCCACCTCTTTTCAAATCTCCTATAACTGATAACAGTTCGTGGTCTAACTTGGAACCAGTCGGATTTCTTTAAAGAAACACTTAAAATTATGGTCTTTGAAATAAAATGAAAACACTCAATTCTGAGACTCCCAAATTATTACGCAGTTATCTGAAGAGATTTAATTGTGGATTTTTATACTCGAACAGTCATTTCATGTGTCTAAATAGGTGTAAACACGAAATAAAAGCTATCCAGTATATACTTATATGATTATCGATGAAGTAGTCAAGTCTGACATATACTTTGACTTTAATGATATATATATATTCTCTGCCGATAGACTACTGGAAACTAGAACTAATTGAATTATCTTGTTTACAGTGTGAACACTATACTATACCATAGCATAATTACACTACTGATCAAACTATTGCTGTAAGACAGCTAGAGAAGATCAGTAGGAAGCCTTAGATCTAGGCTCCATGCCTGTTGACACTCCTCAGCAAAGCGTATTCGGAATCTTCGAGGAACTGATGTCTTTTCTGAGACTGGGACTCGAGTCAGCCAGTACTGCAGTCAGAGAATGAAGGACTGGACGCATGACATTAGTCGCTACACACTGTCTAACCAAAATATCCATTACACTCTTACAGGAGGGCAGTTACGAGGCCAGTAGCTTAGTGATAACGTCTCTGACTGTAGCACTCAATGGCTCGCACCAGATTCTCAGAAGAGACATGAGTTTCTTCAAGATTGCAGACGCGATTTGTTGATGGACCCCAACAAGCACAAAGCCTTGGTCTAAGGCTTCCTGTCAACTGCCGCCAATCATCTAACATTAATTCAGTGTGTACTCCGATGGTGAGTCACTCAGCATGGTGACCGAATTGTAGACTTGATTAGTAACATTTAATCTGCACAAAACCGAAAAATAGAAGAATGACATTGGTTACTACCTAGAGCCTCATCAAAGTGACCAAAATATGTTTATCACATTAGTCTACCGGAAGGTAAAAGAGTAGATCTTTCTTGGTGTTGCCTTTTTTCTAAATTAAGTAAACCTTCCGTCACAGAGCTATTCAAATAACTGAAAGTTTGCATCCAACCACTGTTTTAATTTTTCCTTTTATTTCAATATTTGCTTTCCATCGTAGAAATATATATGCAAATCCATGTAATACTGAAGGGAATAATTTCATTTTGATGTCAGCGCTGAAAATGTTGCCTAGTTGGACAACGAAAGCTTCACAATCTAACCATTCAGCTCAGAGAACACAACGTCACCAAATCTATGAATAATCTCCATTTTATCAGATCCTATCTGATCTTAATGCTTGTATGCTATATCAGTATGAATGACAGGTTGACTTCAGTTTCAAGTGGTTGACGTTAACCAACCCGGCTTAACTATAACTCTGCAGTAACTCTTGTGCCTTATACGGTTTGTTTCGTATACGGGAATTCTCACTAGGATTCCAGTTACAAATTACAAATACCAACTAAAATAAGGCTTTATGTAGAATGACAGCAAACATTTAAAAGGAATCATTATTTCCCAATTGTCTCACACCAATTTCATCACCAAATAATCAGTTAATTATAACAGTTTGTTTGAAAAAGAATTTCATCTTAGAATACAGTTGAAATATAATCACACTTTATAACCTACACGATAGTGTTAGAAAATGATAGAACGCTTGAATGTTAATTCCTGGCAGAATTTTTAACCAGTTTTCTTTTTCTTGCAATACTGTTTAGTTTGTTTGTCATCTTCTCTGTGTGAATGTGCGTGTACGTGTGCGCGCGCGCGACTTTTCAATGACCACCTGTAGTGTTCAATCGAATGAGAAAAACACAATTTTGTGTTTTTTTCTTCATCACTTCTTTGTTCAATTGTAATTTCAATTTTGTTTTAGGTTAAATAATGTGTGAATAAACGATGAAAACAACAATTCAAAATGCATCATTTCTTCTATTCTATACTTATTCATGAAAACTATTCACTACTTTGTTGGTTAAGTAAGTAAGAAAAATAATAAGTTTGTACTCGATAATCTTTGTCTCCTACTTTAGTTCTTGAAACATTGACTACTAATGTGCTGTTATGCATGCTGAGTTGTTTAATCGATTCAAATTAATTTCACTCTTTTTATGTTATATAGGCGGTTAACTGGTCTGCAAAAGGTGTGTGTGCGTTTGGCTTCTGTTTTGTTTGTAATAGGCGCAAGGTAATCTTATTATTCCTTCAAATAATAATTGTCTAGTAAACTGGAAAGAAGAATGCTGCAATATTTTATAGGATAAATAGGAATTTTTTTTTGACCATCACTACGAGTAATAGCAGTCAGTAGTAGTGTGCAACGACAGAAGACAAGGGCCAAGCAACAGCTCGTTTATTGAGAAAATCAGTAGATGTTTATATATTTTTATGTATATTATTATTAGCATTATTGTTGGCAGAGAAGTAGCCTCTTCTCATTTATTGTTTTCTTGCTGAAGGTTATTCTGTACTGCTTGTGACCATTTTTCAGAAAGTTAAGCCATATATCTGCGAATCCTATTTGCACACGTTAAGTCTTCCGTGATTGGCTGATGATTGTCTGAAGGTTAAGCTTGTTATTGGTTTCTCACAACCTCGATTCAGGACGTAACATTGATATAAATTGCTGTCTACAAATTTGGCTTGCAGCCAGCTATCACCACAGTGGTAGTATGGTGTCCTACTGGTGAGAGTTTATAAGTACCACAGTGCGTGGTGTCTTATGAAACAATCTTGAAGACAGGAGTGATGTTGCACACAATGAGAAGTGAATAAAACTGAAAATCGACACAGAAAGCATGAAACAAAGAGAGGAGAGCAAGAAGAGGAGAATAGGAATACAGCATAAAGCAGAACGAGAATGTGTTGGACAGTAACCCATTGTGTTATTCAAAAAAGTAATTGAAACAGAGATGGATTTAGAGGGTAGAGAGGAGTGAGAGTAGCAAGATGTAGGGTATAGAAAGATGAAAGATAAGCATCATTTCGACAAGGAAGATAAAGTCCTTCAAAGTAATCCCAATGTAAACCTACAAAGTGTGTAATAATTCGGCTATTTTGGGATAAGACAGTTGTGACGACATCAAAATATTCAGTTAAAAATTTGATAAAATTACAGGCGTATTCAAATCTCACCTAATTTACTAACCGGTCTCAAATTCGAAAAGTGCGGAAGTTGGGAGTGGGGCTAATGACTCTAACCCATGAAACAAACCATCGCTATTGTAACTTGAAATCACCAGTGTATTTTTATAAAGTTACCGACTTTCAGTGAGGTAATAATTTGTCCGACTAACCCGTTGAAGGTAACCAAAAGTCTAATAAGTAAGCATACGCTGTAGAAACCAAGTGCTTACGATGAATTAATGGATTTTTGGCTGAACACCTTCAATTTCTTTTAGACTGCTAACCTTATTTCAGATTACTAACATCAGACTATTAACTACCAGGCCTAAAAACAAACAGTTTTAAGTAACAAGTATCTATTAGTTAAATCCTTCACTATGAATTTACCAAATGACTTAAAACAGTTAATCGTTGTAGTCATCAAATATTTTATTGTGCGTCTAAGCAAGAGCCTTTCAAATAATTTCCCATAACACTCCGTTCGCTTGAATGAACACTACACAAAAACGATCATATATTCTTTCCAAAATATATCAGAGTCAAGTCAGACAGTAAAACTAGATGATACCTACCTTTTCACTTCAAACACATGGGAAGTTGGGAAAAGTAGCAAATAACTCAACATCTTCAAGGACTATCTAACCACCTTACTGAGGAAGAATAAGGTTATTTTTCAAGGAATAACTATTGTACATATATTTACAGAAATTATAAGTAGGTTATCTGATAAGTATCACATAAACTTTCGCACAAATAGCAATGAATTCGACTGAAACATCGATTTTTCAGCGTGAGAATTATAACGGAATGGGTAAAAAGATGCTTCCATACATAATACTGGCTGTCTGTACGACAATATCTCTGATATTAGGAAGTATAACCATTGACATCAATAATGCTAATACAAAAGTTCAATTAGACCTATTACGACATTGATAGTTCAGCAGTAGATTGCTTGTTAGCCATGCATGTGGTCTGGGTTCGACCCCTGACTGATGCATTCCTAAACCTCACCGACTACTAGTTGACAGTAAGTCAGGAAAAGAAAGGGAGGTTAGATGCAAGGCTAACAACTATAACCCATAGAAACAACACCATCCCTAGTAAAACTTCAAAGTTAGAAGCGCTATGTTCCACTTGGATAGCAAATGAATGAACAAACCCCCCATTTTCTGCATTAGGAAAATAAAGATGCCCAACTTAGAATGCGTTGAAGTGTACAACATCCCAGTTAAACATATGCAGTCATGTTGATCAGGAAGAAAACGTCTTAAACAACAGACTGACGATCAGTTGATGTAATCTTTCACTGCATAATCAAATGGGTCAATTCAAATGAAGAAAGAAGAAGGATGTAGAGTTTGAAAACTCACTAATTATGTTTCCCATGTGACTTATCCTAAAGTCTAAGACATGGAAACTATTGTCTAAGCTGTTAAATTCTAATAGTTATATACGTAAAATATAACAATGAAGTAGAATTGTCTGTGAAATGCCAAACTTACCTTTGCATTAGTATTAGCATCTGAATCAATAATTTGCACTAAAGGTGGTCGACAACCACAAGTACACTTTAAGTGTAAATCAGGAAATGTCGTCTTCAGCTTCTTTATGTCTTCATTTCTCATTGCTCTTTCAAAAAGAATATCACTTGCTTCTTCATTAAATTGAGTTGTAGAGGCCACCAACTCATCTGGTAATCTCTGTAACTGATCAATATTGTTATTATTATTTGTTATTTCTATGTTAGAGGTAGGTTTCAAGTCTTTCGATGATTCATCTACACTAACTAGTGTTGACTGTGTTGGCTTTACATGTTCTTCATTAGATGATTGTAATTCTTCTTTGGTTAAATTTCTTTCCATGCACAGTATACCTTCAGGATTATTATATTCAGGGAATTGTTCACAATTCATACGTTCTGGCCATGGAAATGCATAATGCTCCATAATCGGTGAACAACCAGCTTTGACACGTTGACATACAGATCGACATGGTGGTAAAAAGTGTGGATAACCTTTAACACATATTGGTGTATAGATTGAACATAACAGAAATCGTAGATCTTTAGAACAATTGATTTGAACTAGTGGATAAAATTGATGAGCCTAGAAAAAGGAGAAAAAGAAGGAGAAGAAGTGGAATGAATAAATCGTGAATTAAGCAAAATTTTGAAAGTAATATCAACTTGATTAGGCAACCAAAAAAAACAGTTTTACTTGTAAATTAAATTTAGATTATGGGCTTTTGCGTGGGTTTCGATTATTTTCTGTGTACATTTTGTTACAAATCAATATCAGTTACGGAGCACTGGACAACTAACGAAGCTAACTGAAATCCCTACAAAGCCCATAACTTAAATATCGATCTCCAGCCCTCTGGCGGCTGCTGGATGGATGTCCCGAAGTTGTACCATGTCAAGGTGAAGTCGATGCTCACCGAATGAATTGCTTGAGAGTGGCGCTATATCATGAATTGACAAAGTTAGAAATCACAGGTCACTGAATTCTGGCCCAAGTATCTAATTATAGTCAATTAGCTTTGTCTCAGAACCTGAAGGTCTCAGACTTGATTTCTAGTGAAGTCGTGTGTGCTCACTGATGAAGAGTCCTAGACTAGAACGAGACATCTGTAAAGTGCCCTGTGGATTCCAATTATCGCTAATTGTTCTCGGCTAGTGACAAAATCTACGCTGATGCTCGCTAGTGACTTGCTACAGGATGGAGTTTCCTGGAGTTTTAGTGAGAAGTCGTGACCAGTGAGGTCAAACCAGTCAAATGTGAGGATGGATGTCCCACCAGCGACACTTGTTGAGGTCGCGCAAAATCGCGAATTGGTAAAAGTTAGAATTCATGCACTGGTCATTGAATCGGGTCCCAGTGGCTGAATGGTATATGAGCTCGCTAGCCTTGTAACCGGTAGGTCCTGGGTTCGAACCCCAGTGATTGGCATACTGACGATGATTCCGAAACTAGGATGAAACAGCTGTCCAGTACTCCCTGGTTGTTTCAATGGTTCTCTAACTGATATCAATCCGTGATCAACTCGTAAAAACAAATCTAATCCTTACAAACCAACTATAGAAAACTGAAATAAAACCTAAAGGGTATTGCATTTGTCTACGAGAATTTATAACTGTGCCTAGAAGACTCTCTAAATTATTGCCATTACATTTATAGGTAAATTCAAGAGTATAGGCAATGTCAGTCAGTGTTTCAGTTTCATTCGAATCAAAGGCTAATTCACTGGGAAGCAGAAAACATGGAATGAAGGTTTCTCATGAGAGCTGATCAACATTTAAAGAAAATAATAAATGTAGCTTTATTTTCAGGTGTTAATCTAAAGGGATGTGATTGATTACAAATTTGATCAAGAAATGGTATCAGTTAGAGAACCACTGAAAACTATAGAGTACTGGATAGCTGATTCGTCCCAGTTTGGGACCATTCAGGAGTACCCTGGGTTGGAACTCAGGACTTTCAGGTTACAAGGCACTCTCAGTTACCATTCAGCCTCTGGGACGGCGTCCATTGCCCCATCAGTTCTAGCTTCTAGTACTATATAGTGCAACCACCAGTCAGTGTCATCGGGTGAGTGACTGTCCATACATTCAACTTGGTGAAGAAGTCCCCTACTTGGATAAAACACTTTTCCAGTACTCTGTGGTTTTCATTCAGTGTTTCTCTTGAAAAATAACTTCTTTCTGAAATACGTGTTTCCTTTCAATGCAGAATCCTCAGCATGTTATATCGAAAGGTATTCACTTATATACGTACATAATCTATACGTAAAATAATAATGGATAATATATTATTTGAAGCATTATTGTCTAATCTAAAGTATGTTTAAGTGCCCCGAAATGATTTTTCTTGACTTTCTTTGGAAAATTTATAACAACGAGTTGGAATCTATCTGAAAATAAGCGCTTTAGTACAGATTACAATTCAAGGATGTAGTTGGATAATTAAAACATTGCATGGAGGATTTCATCATGAGCTGACATCAGTTAGAGAACCACTAGAAAACCTGGGAGTACTGGACAGCTGTTTCTTCAACCTAGTTTGGGACTCTTCATCAGTACGCACCCACAGTGTGGGGTTCGAACCCAGGACCTTCTGGTTACAAGGCTAGCGAGCTCGTAGACCATTCAGCAGCCACTGGGACCCGATCCAATGGTCCTTGAATTCGAACTTCTACCAATTCACGACATAGCGCGACCATTTCGCAATGTCTTCTTCGATGAGTTACTGTCTCTTCTTCAACCTGCTGTACCCTACTTGTCACGGCTTCCGACTAGTACCCCAGGTTAACTGCCTGAATAGGGCCAGTCGCTAGTGAGCATCAGATTAATTTTCAGCTCATGATGAAATCCTCCATGCAATCGAACAAAAATCCCTACAAAACCAATACTTGAAAATTAAAACATTATGAAATCGAGTAAATGTAATGTGATACTGCTGAATGGAAAGTGAGACAGACCAATCATTTAAGCAGACCACTAGAACTTGAATTGAAAGCCATAAGTACAATTCAGTCATAATGACCTCAAATCTTATTTTCACCTTAACAAACACAAGTGAACAACTTATAAGTTTTAGAAGAAGAATAAGGATACTTAGAAAACGTTTTCACACTTAAAAGAAAGAACAGACTCCAAAAATTGGATCATTCAAAATGAGGCGTTGATATTCGTGGTCAGCCAAAACTATGCTAATCTTAAAACAGATGTAAAGAAGATAATAATATTAATAATCCAGTAAGTCTTCCTCTAGATTAATAATAACCGCATTAGATGGCTTTAGCAAAACAGAGGCCCATATAAGAAATGGCCATTAATGAGTGTATATATATAATATATATGATAAGTGGCGAAATAATTTCTTAGACACAACATGAATATCTTATATACAAAGAATGTTTCCCAGTTTATCAATCATTTCTCTTATAAACGCATACCGTTTTTAATGAAATTCACTCTCTGAGTGCAAATATGTATAATGTATACAGACACATATTTATATATATGTGAAAAGATGACCATTTGTTTGCAAACACATGCATACATATCTAATGCGAATGTGTGTTTAATAGAAGCACGATAATCTGCACAAAAACTATTCCCTCTCATGACTAACATTTCTCCCATTACTAAATCATATTTCAAGTCACCAAAGACATAGACATTATGTGAATAAAAGACGTATATAGATATATAGGCATACGTGTATTTATAAATCACTTCAAGAATAGCTAGCTGTCAATCAAATATTAATAATAATCATAATGATAATAATAATAATAATTTCAACTGAGTCACATAACACTCTGTTTTAATGGAGGCTTGTTTCCCCACTCTCTATCTATCTACCTATCTATCTATCTTGGCTTCTTTCTACCTCAGATTACAGAGGTATACAAAGTGAAGAGGAAAAGAAAAAGAGCTAAGAAAAGGAAAGGCAGAAAGTTGTCTGTAGGTATAGTAGCATGGAGAGAAATCCTACCTATCCATCCATCTACTATCCATCTATAAATGAACACTAACTAATTAAAGTCGAAATAAACGATGAAGAAGAGAAAAAAAGAATGAATGAATGAAAATTTCAGTAGAGTTGAAAGTGACTGTTTAACAGCAGTACTGATGCTTAGAACAACAGACGACAAAAATAAAGATAGAGAAAAGAAGGCTATTTTCCTCCTCTCAATGTGAAAAACACCCGTTACAGGTGATTTATTTGTTTATATTAAATGTGAATATGTGACTGTGAAGGAAATCCAAGAGTTTTAATAAGACAAGTATTTTAGGCTTTTTTTCTGACATCCACTTCACCACCATCATCATCAACAACAACAAAAACGACGACAGACGATCTAGTTGTATACAGTATTAATTACCGTTTGTATTTTATAGAAATAAAATCTTGATGACCAGTGAAGTAACTAGAAGTATGTATGATATTTGAAATGAAAGTCATTTGTGAAATATTAGAGGACATAATGAACCAGGAGAAACAGTTCATGGTTCTCAAGTTAGATCAAGAACTGGCATCAGTTAGAGGACCAGTGAAAATCATATAGTACTGGACAGCTAATACCCTCCTAATTTGAGACGCTTCAAAAAGATTCACCCATGAACTTAACAGGGATGGAACCCAGGACCTTTGGGTTACGAGGCGAGCCCATTGATCTTTCAGTCACTAGGATGGAATTCAATGTAATGTAATAACTGTTCGGAAACCACCACCCGCCTGAACGATCTAACTTAAATGATGATGCTTATCTAGGTATTTTAATTAACTCTGTAATTACCTTCCTCTTTTCTCTTAGGCTATATATCACTGTTCTGACGTTTGCGCATAATCTGCTGACTTAATCTTTATTTTTGTCTTTTTTCTTATTTAACCTCTAATTATAATGCTTCTCTCTGCGATTGTATCATAATGACATTGATAATGTGTTGTTGGTTTGAATGAGTCAAGGTCACTCTGGCACTGGATTGTCTGCTGGAATTGTTTGGTGCGGAATTCTCGATGACAGAGTTTGGATTGAACCTTGTTGGAAATATTCTACTTCATTCTCAGGCAATTCTTACAGTTGATTTTCACCTTACCAATTCTGTTCTATAATACCTGTCTTGTACTGGAAAATTATCTGATCTGTAAAGCTGCTTAACGGCACTGTTGAGGCAACTTTGAGTTTATGACCATTACTATTATCGTTAAATGGCACAGTAGATTTTACATCATCTTGTGACTGAACATATCTTAAGGAAGTTCCTGCTAGCTATGCAGTTTAACTCTTTTCAATCTGGGCAGCTTTGCCAGTCTCATACATAGTGTGGACGTTCCATGTCCCCAAGCATACTTTTTCTTTCGTCACAAAGAGACTCGTCGTACTGAAGTTTATGTAGCAGTTTTCTTTACAGTATGGGGTTGCTAGCCTCACGCCTGAGAAGGTAGTTGTTACATAGGGATGTAAGTTACAGAGGAGTGACTTTTTGGGTCTTCAATCAATACTCAAGATCAGATGACCAGAAAAGATCAGCAACAGAGATCTCTGGCAATAAACGAACCAACCAGGAAGCATTTGTGCAGGAAGAAATAGAGGTGGA